GCGGGTGTGGGCCTGCCTGGCGAGCCGGGTCCCCGGGAGCAAGGATTTGGTCGCGGGTGAACTGGGTGGCTAGTCTTCCCCATGGTGGGATCACCCCGCACGCACCTTCTCAGCCTCACCTGTATCTCACCTGTGCTCCCACTTCTGGGCATTACTTTCTCGGTGTTTGCCTAGGCATGCGAAGAGACAGTTTTGTCACATTCAGAGTATATACAAGTCTCTTACTAATCTTATGGGTGTAATATTGAGTAACAGGGCAAATGTGGTTTTCAGCCAAGAGTGTCTGTGGTTGCTGTGTTTATTTGTTACCGTCTATTACATAGAATAAAGACCCTGAAGAAAAAAAATATGAGAAAAAGGAATATGAGAAAACTTGGCCTCCTTGTTAAATCGTGTAATACCAGGGGTCGCTTAGAATATGGGCAGAGAACTTTTTTCTTTCAGGTCCCTAAATATACTGAAAGACCTTACCGTTCTTGAAAGTTGTCTTGAAGACAGTGCATCTGATTTGGTTATATGGAGAAATTATTTCTAGAGTTTCCTGATAATTCTATGATAAACAGGAATACAGTTTTACAGGTCGCGCTATGCTATAGATTTGGCTTGTGATTTTTTTTTTTTCTTTACCTACCCTACTCTCTATGCCTTGTAATTCCCTGTGGTGTGATTTAAAAAAACAAAACCAAAACACTACAAGTACTTGCTTCCTGAAAACCAAGTAGACTCATTCCAGTGTTTTTTCTGTAATGAAAAGAAAAACACCTTTCTAAGATTTTAATAATAATTAATAATAATAATAATAATAATAGCTGTCACTTATTTGGGGTCTCCTATATACCAAAGTACTAGGAACTTTATATTTATTCTCTTATATATTAAGCAATCCAACTAGCTGCTTCATCCAGGAAGTATAGGAGACACTGAAGTTCAAAGACTCTTTGTGTTTAATATCTCTTCTTAGACCCAGTCACCTCCCACTCAACCTGCCTTTCTCCACCTCTGCCACATTACCACTGCCAGAAGAATCCAACAAAACCACACATACAGTCACTGTGCTCATACCATCATTATTAACCCACTTTATACCAGAAACCTGGGAGTCTACCTTGGCCCCTTCTCCCTGCTTGTCCCCCATAAATCTATCACCAAAAATCTTGCCAATTTTTATACCTATTTCCTGCCCATTATCTTTATCCCCATTGCCACCACCCTGTTCCGTTCCCTGCCTGACCTATTGTTGGAGTCTCCACGTTGGCCCTCCTGTCCCTCTCCTGTCCAATCCATTCACTCTGTAGCCAGAATGAGTGAGTGTTCTAATATGCAGATATGATTGTATTGCTCTCTTGATTAAAACTCTTCAGAGACAGCCCATTAGTGACCTGGAGGATAAAATCCAGCTACCTGAACTTGGCTTACAGTGGCCTTCAGACAGGCCTTGTCTGCTTTAACCAGCCTGTTTCAGTACTCTTTCAGTTCCTTGAACTGAACACAATCTATTTTGCTCTTAAATATATGATTCCCTCTGCCTCCATCACTCTTTTCCCCCTCTGCCTAGCCAGCTTCCATTCATCCTTCAGTCTTCAGCTTAAATATTATTTTCCTAATTCCCTTAGATATTTCTACTGTGTGCCAGCATAGCTGTTTACGTAAGACTTACCACTCCACATTTGTTGAGATCTGTGGTCCTGTCTGCACTGGGGCGTCTCTGAGGGCAGAAATGATGAGAGATTTGGGCAGGATTATAAAACCTGCTGCAGGTCCTCAGTGTCTACCTGTTGAATGATAAAGGAGTAAGTTGCTGTTGTCCTGTCGTGATGATTAGAGCTACTTTGAATTAAGTCTGCCTTTTGAAAATAAGTGTAATTCTCAAATGTTTCTGTTTTTGAATATAGTTTGGGAGAGCCCGTGTGACTGCAGGAGTGGAGCCGGCTGCGTGGGTGCCCAGCATGGACGGCTACACAGTCCTGAGAGTGATCGGGGAGGGCTCATTCGGCAGAGCCCTTTTGGTCCAGCAGGACAGCAGTAATTGGATGTTTGCCATGAAGGAAATCAGGCTTCCCAAGGTCACTGCTGAAGAAATTAGCTCATGTTGATAGTGTACATGCAATTTGTATAGGAAGATAAGTTCTTGAGATTTAACGTAGAATTGCTTCTCAATGCAAAAGATGTAATGGGTATATTCATTAGCTTTACAAGTTCTTGATATATTTTATGTGGTTCTTAGGATGTTGTAATTAACAAAAAGGGAGAAAAATAGTCATAGGAGATGATTGCTGTTTATCTCAATGAGAATAATTTGAAATAATTTCCAGTTTCATATACGTAAGGGTGTAGGGAGTCTTTGCCAAAAACAACTCAGGTGCAATATTAATGAAAAAGGAACATAAATATATAGCGAAGAGCAAAGATCTAAAATGCTAAATTTTGGTATCAGGGAACCTATTCTGTGAATACTTTAGGTTTTATTTTCCTGTAAGCTGAGGAAGGTACTGATTTATCACTATCACTATGTACCATAGTTGTTATGTCAAAGAATCTGCCACGGAGGCTGCTTAATACTGTTTTGATCAATTTTTAAAAAATACATTTTAATAAAATTCCCAGAGTGCTATTTTTTTCCGCAACTGCCTTCTTGCCCTCATTTAGTGATTCTCAAACTTGAGTAGGCATCAGAATCACCTGGAGGGCCTGTTAAAACAGATTGCTGAGCCTCACCGCCCCCAGTATCTGCTTGAGGCTGTCTGGGTGGGCCTGTGAATTTGCATTTTTAACAGGTTCCCATTTGGTGCTGATGTTGCTGGTCTGAGAACCCTTGTGTAGTTTCTTTCTTTTTTAAAAAAAATTTTAATTAATTATTTTACATCTACAGCACCTATCTTCCTAGGTGGTCTCCCATCTAAGTACTAACCAGGCCTAACTCTGCTTAGCTTCTGAGATCAGATGGGATCGAGTGTGTTCAGAATGGCATGGCTGTAGGCCTTTGTGTAATTTCTTAATTGCAATTCAATTGAAATCATTCAGGATTTCATCCTCATAAAGTAAGTCAGGGGATAAACAGTTTTGGAAACTTACTTTGCATATAGCCTTTGTCCATCTTTGCTGCAGTAATACACCAGTATATTCTTTTTTATCTGGGCCAGTGGACTGGTAAAATGATACAGACAGTAAAAGCATGAAATCTCTCTTTTTGTTTTTAATAAGGATATACCACTGTTAACGGCATAACTCTCCAAATCAGGTTATGCTTAGGCTGATGTTACATCTATACTTGTGAGGATAGAAGGGGTCAGCTTAAGCATGCAAAATATAGCTATAGTTGAAAAATCACCACATATTTTCTCTTAGAGTTTGATAAATTTAAGTTGTCTCAAGGTGCAGTGCTGTAACACTGTATCTGGCATTGAAGTATCATATAAACTATATTATTGAGAAGCTCTACTTTAAAATGAAGTATTACATTTACACTTATTTAAACTCTTCTTCTAGTCTTTCTCTGATACCCAGAATTCTAGGAGGGAGGCTATTCTGTTAGCCAAAATGAAACATCCCAATATTGTTGCTTTCAAAGAATCATTTGAAGGTAAATATGAATTCCCCCAAATATGTGCATTTCTGAATTTGATTTATGGCCACTATGCTTTCCTAAAGAGTCCTACATTTGTTTTAGCTGAAGGACATCTGTATATTGTGATGGAATATTGTGATGGAGGAGACCTCATGCAAAAAATTAAACATCAGCGAGGAAAGCTGTTTCCTGAAGATATGGTAAGAGACTGAATTACGTGGTTTCCTTCAAGATTTAGAAGCAACTTTTCTCATAAAATCTGCATAAGTTTAAATAAAAGCATGATATCTGTGATTACCTGACACACTAGTTAGGCCTCATTTCTGTAACTGTGCTGCTGCGTAGTATTGTCAGGATGTGGCTGCCTGGGATGTTTTTAGGAAGTAAAATAGATATATGTTTTTTAAATTATCAAGGAATAAAACTTCCATGTTTAGAAGAATTTCAAAGTTGTATTACTTATATTTTGTATTAGATATTTGAAATGATTTTTGTTGTATTTGAAGTTTAGAGAGCAGATAGATTTATTTTGTATTTCTAGATTATCAGAAGAATGAAGCCCACATCTTTCTTAGGAGTACCTTTCTCAATCTTTTTCCTTCTAAAGTTTAGCATATTTCCTTAAGTCACTAGACTGCCTTTTTAATGGATAATTGCATACTGATATTTGAATGAATTAAACAGCTTTAATGGGGTTTGTTACAAAACTGTATTGCTATAAATATTTTTTTATTTAGCAGTTGTTTTGTTAAAAGTATAGGTTCCATAGAAAGTCAAACTTGGCTTTAAATGGATGAATCTCCATGGCAAAAAAGAAAAAAAAAATCATTTAATTGTAGGCACCTGGAAATTCTGGGTACTGTTGACTAGGGATTTATGAACAGAATACTGACCTCAAAGGATTGTTGACAATATAATGAGATCTTTTAATGTTAATATAAGAATAATCTGAAAAAGGAAATGAAAATCTGATGTACTGGTTACACTATAAATTTGTAGCATATTCATTTCTAAATGGTAAACTATCTTTATATATAGATTTAAGAAATGGTTGAACACAAGAAAAATATAGTGCGAGTTTTATTAAAATAAATTGCTATTTGGACCATACATAAGATAATAAAACATAGAATTCATAGCTTTTCTGACTTTCTCCAGGCAACACTGAATCTTAGTTGAACTATGTCATTTTTAGGAATTCCATGTTTACCTATGTAAAACCCAAGTCAATTAAGACCTAGTGAGGATTCTTTGGTATTTTGGGTTAACACGAACCAGTTTTTGCATTCTTGCAGATTTTCATGCTTTTATCTTACAGATACTGAACTGGTTTACACAAATGTGCCTTGGAGTAAATCATATTCACAAGAAACATGTGTTACACAGAGATATCAAATCCAAGGTAAGTGGAATACATTTTTGGGCCAAAAAAAAAAAATAAATAAAACCCGAACTATTTCATTTAGTCTTTTTTCTATGTTATTCTGTTTCCTTTGAGATATTTTTATTTAGTTTAGAAATATTTGTCAACCTAATATTCATACTAGCCAAATAAGGTACTACCCCAGAAAAGGTCATTAAATCTCTTTAGTAGTATATGTTAATATATTCTAAGCTCTCTTAGCGACTGCTTACTAAGACTGTATATTCTCAGATGGAAAACAGCTGTGACCTGGGCCTGCTACATGGAGTTATCCTGGCACAGATTCCCAGCTGGTTGATCAGGGTCTGCTGATATAATCTGAAGCTTGCTTGTTAAATTTCTAAGCAGTCATCCTGAATTCCCAAGCAGGGGGATGTGTAGCTGTCAGGAGGCTATCTTGTCTTTTTGTGTTCCATTCGGGGACTCAGCTATCAGCATCTACCCTTAATCTCCATCGTCAGCAGACTTTGAAAGACAGCTTCTCTGGAGACCTCTGCCTTATGTTTGAATGATGGAACTCTTCTTTTTTAATGCAGAATGTCTTCCTCACTCAAAACGGAAAAGTAAAACTGGGAGATTTTGGATCTGCCCGTCTTCTCTCCAAGTATGTATGTCTATCTATGGTAGTAACACTAATCAAAATCCAATATCCATTATTCGAGAATGCTCTGTACTCATTTTTTGCCTTTCTCTGTTTTTAGTCCCATGGCATTTGCTTGTACGTATGTGGGAACACCTTATTATGTGCCCCCAGAAATATGGGAAAATATGCCTTATAACAATAAAAGGTAAGTGATGTACTTATTTCGTGCAAGTATAACTGTCTAGTGATAGGCATTGTAGCCTACAAATGAAATTCGGTTTGAAATAAAATATCTGAAAGCAGTATTGAATTTAAATTCCCAGGTTTCTAGATGGAAGTCATAGTTTTCCAATGGTTTTAATCAGAATTGAGAGGAGCTAGATGTAAATGCTGAAAGAAAGGCATTTCTGATCATTTCTAGTGTGAATTATATCACTGGTTCTCCAACTTTGCTGTTCCTACTTTTAAAAATCCCAATGTGCGGGTTTCAAGCATAACAATTAAATAAGAATGTCTGGGTGGGAAGCAGGCCATCATTAATTTTCCAGAATCACCATGTGATTCCAACATGCAGCAAAATTTAGGAATCACTGGACTGTGTCACCGAGTTAGCATTTCCAGGACTAGATAACAAGCACTTGACTGATAGGTTAATTGATTGATTACAAGGAGACAGTATGAAGACTTTATGATTTAAAACAAATTTTTTTCTGAATATAAGTAATATGTGCCCATTGAACAAGTGAGTGGATAGGAAGGATTAGAAATATAGAGATGTATAAGAAAGGAAATGGCAATCACCCACTTTTTTGCACTATTAATTACATTTTAGTGTTTTTTTAATCTATTCATCCCCCCACCAAAACCTAGTTTTGTACTCTCTATATAATTTAGTATCTTGCTTTTTTTTCACTTTATGTTACATCATATTCATTTTCCCCCATATGCAAACTCATCATAAATATTGTTAATGGTTGCATAATATTTTACTACACGGCTCTTCCAAAATTTACTTAACATTCCTGTGTTGTTTCCAGTTTTCAATGTCATAAACAGTGCTGTGATTAATACACCTTTTGTGCATAAATATGTCATTGTTTTGTATCATATTCTTGGCATAGATTCAGAGAAGTAGCAACACCAAAAGGCTCTTTTTACCTTCTATCAAGTTGCTTTCTGGAAAGAGTATGATAATCCATACTAAATAGTTTCCTTAAGAGTAAAATTGACTGAGTTGGGGACAAAACATCTATAAAGGGACTAACTAGGACAGTTGGGAAATTTTCAGTTTGACAAAAATATTAAAAATATTATTGAATTTAGGTTTAATTTCTTGAATTTGATAATGATAGTGTTTATGAGGGAAAATGTCTTTGCTCTTACAAGATACATACTGACATGTTTAGGGGTGGAGTGTTTGATATCTGCAGTTTTTTCCCAGGAGGTTCAGATATAAATGGAGGAGGGAAACAGCACATAAACATGGCAGATGTTAACAGTGGGAAACTAGAAAGGAGCATGTGGGCGCTTATAACTTTTCTGTAGGTTTCAAACTTTAAAAAAATTAAAATTTGGGGGAAACAGTTGATTAAAATCATTAAAATTTGAGTATCATCTAGAAAAAGTCTGGAGGATGACAGCTAGGAGGTGTGGATGATGGAGATGCTTAACATGAACAAGGGTGAGCATCCTGGGCACACTGTTGACATGATGTTTGAAGAGCTCTTTTATGGAAGAATGGGTAGTCATCTCTTTGTTTTGGAATATAGAACTAATGGGGTGGAGAGAGTCCCCAGAAGACACATTTTGGCTTATGATAAAGAAGAACTCTGTGCCTTAGAGCCCTCCAACAGGGCTGTAGACTGTGCCCGATGTAGTTTGCTGGCCATCAGGAGATGAGATCAAAGGCCTGGTGTTGTGCACCGATGGTCTGGGTGGAAGCTGCACTGGAGGACTTCTAAAGTCTTTTTCCAACTATGATAATCAGAGTCCATAAAGATTCCCTTTTGCACCAAATGCTACTGAAGTGACAGCCGAACCAGTCTGATTTGGACAGGTCGGGGTTAGGAAGCAGAGAGTTTATTGTGAACATTACTGTTAGTAATTAAGTATTAGACCAAAATTACCATATGTTTTATTTTAATAGCTAGGAATTACTTGCAATATCTGTTCTTATTAAAGTTAATTTTTCATTTTTCATATTAGAAAGTATATATATTTTCATATAATAACTCGTAACTCACATTGCTTCTTTATGCTTCCAGTGACATCTGGTCCTTGGGTTGTATTCTGTATGAACTCTGTACCCTGAAGCATCCAGTAAGTATGGTGGGCAAAATGGAAAGGCAGCCTCTTGTCGTGTCTGCAATAGGAAGTTTGCTTCCCTAGGATGAATTCATTATAAAAGTTTTCATATGTTTCCATTGTTATCATCTTTGCTTGAGCCACTTTTGTGGCAGATACCAATAGGGAATTTACATTCTTTAGTGTTTTATAGCTTCCCTCCCTTTCCCTTCCCCACTTTTTTGCTATTCTTATTTTTTTGGAAATATATATATATGTATAACCTAAAATTTGCCATTTTAACCATTTTTAAGTATACAATTCAGTAGCATTAATTACTTCATAATATTGTACAACCATCACTACTGCCTATTTACAAAACTTTCCCTTCACAGGTACGCAATCTCTGTACCTGAAGCCCCCTCCTCTCAGCCTTGGTAACCTCTAATCCACTTTCTGTCTCTATGAATTTCCATAGTCTAGATATTTTATATAAATGGAATTGTACAACATTTTTTCTTTTGGTTTGGCTTACTTCACGTAGCGTAAGGTTTTCAAGGTTCATCCATAGCATATGTCAGAATTTTGTGCCTTTTCATGACTGAATAATATTCTATTGTGTGTTTATGCCATGTGTTTATCCATTCATCTGCTGATGAACGTTTAGGGGGTTTCCACCTGTGGCCACTGTGAATCATGCTGCTGTGAACATGAGTGTACCAATATCTTTGGAATCCCTGTTTTCATTTGTTTGGGCTATATACCTAGCAGTGGAACTGCTCGGTCATGAGGAACCACCAAACTGTTTTCCAGAGTGGCAGCACTATTTTAACCTTTTTGCAGTTAGTTTTCATTATGTGAGTTTCTTCTCTAACTGAATTATTATGAGAAAACAGACTCAACCCTATTATATTATATATTTTCTCAAGATATTTTAAGAAATAATTTAACCAAAAAGAGGTGAAATAATTTGTCCTGCTTGCTCAGCAGTTGTTTATTACACAGAATTAGCAGTCATAGCTCTGATTCCTATTAGGTCTTAGCTTTGCATAGAAATAAATTCTGTTCTTTGGGCACAGATTAACACTTGGTTCTAGCAAGCATTTTTACAGATGTGGTTGAGAGCACGTAGAGCTCGTGAGTGACTATATGAGAAAAATTCTTCACCAGCACTAGATGAAAGTAACTCAGACTGAGGGCACTGTTAATGAAAGGTTGTCTTCCCTGAATATGAGTGGCTTATAAGGCCAGCTGCATAATGAGAACAACTTGGGAAACTTTAAAAAATGCTGATGCCTAGGCCACACCAGACTAATTGAATTAAAATTTCTGAAAGTGTTGAGCATTAGTGGTTTTTTGTTTGTTCTAATGTTTTTATAGAGAATTAATTATATTTAATCTTGGATTATTTCATAAATTTTTTCTTGGACTACATTGCTTAAAGTGATTACTCATGTCATATTGAAAGAACAAGTTGTTTTTCCCCTAATCATTTTGCAGAAGCATATGAATTGTTTCAGTAATGGCTAGACTATTAATTTTCTTTTGTCATGTTTTTTCAATGCATTTCAGCTTCTGAATTTGGCATAAATAACTCATTGCTTGAAGTTTATTTTCTCTGTTTATCACTAGAATAGTTTATTGACTAGTAACTAAAATTTAAAAAAATTTTTTGGCCCCTAATTTGAATCATAAATTTGAGTTATTTGATTTTTCCTCATGGTTTAAAGTATATTAATTGCCGTTTCATTTTTAACCTCTATAATGGGTATTCTAGTCTCTGTACTTATATTTTTTTAAAAATTTTAATTAGTTTCAATATATAGTCCATTGGTTAAATATCTGTATAGTTAGTAAGATGATCTCCCAATTGCTTCCTCCCTCCCCTGACCCTCCACCTAGTCAACGTATTAATGCTAACTGCATTCCCTATGCCGTGCTCCCCATCCCCGTGACCATCCATCAGCTACTAATTTGTACTTATTTAAGCCTTCACCCCATTTTCCCAGCTCCCCAAACCTTCCCTTCTGTCCATCATCAAATTGTCCACTATATTTGTGAGGCTGTTTTTGATTAATTTGTTCTTTTTATTCTTTAGATTCTGCATATAAGTGAAATCATATGATATTTCTCTTTCTCTGTCTGACTTAAATACCTTCTAGTTTCATCACAGCAATATCTTTTTCCATTCCCTCACTTTTCATATGCAGGGGTCTTGTTTTCTTATCCTTTCAGCCATTCCATCTTTAGGTCAGAGCACTTAATTTTTTTCCATTTAAGGTACTTATTGATAGGAATATAGTTGTTACCATTCTTTATTCTTGTTTTTGATACATGTTTTTCTTCTTAAAAAAGTCTCTTCAACATTTCCTGAAATTCTGGCTTGGTGGCGTTAAATTCCTTTAGTTTATTTTTGCCTGGGAAGCTCTTTATCTGTCCTTCAACTCTAAATGATAGCTTTGCTGGATAAGTTATTCTTGGTTGTATATCCTGGGCTTCATCTCGTCGAATATCTTTTGCCAAGCCCTTCTGTCCTGCATAGTCTCTCTTGAGAAATCAGCTGCCAGTCATATGGGTATTCCCTTATATGTAATTATTTGTTTTTCTCTAGCTGCTTTTAAAATTCTTTCTTTGTATTTAACCTTGGCATTTTAATGCTGATGTGTCTTGGTGTGAGCCTCTTTGGGTTCCTCTTTCTTGAGACTCTCTGAGCTTCCTGGGGTTTTATGTCTATTTCCTTCACCAGGTTAGGGAAATTTTATAGTAAAACTTCTTCAAATTATTATCTCTCCAAATAGTTTTTCAATGTCTTGTTTCCTTCAGGTACCCCTATGACATGGATATTTTTACATTTAATAGTGTTCCATAAGCTTCTTAAATTATTATTATAATCTTGACTTCTTTTTTCTTTCTGGTCTGATTGAGTGCCCTTGGCTTTCCCATCCTCTATGTAGGTCATTCAATCTTTTTTTTTAATTCACTCTGTTTATTCCATTTAATATGCTTTTCATCTCAGATAATGTTTTCTTCATTTCTGACTAGTTCCCTTTTATAATTTCCATTTCTGTTTTTATGTTTTTTATCTCTTTGTTAAAGTTCTCACTGAATTCATCTACACTTCATCTAAGTTCATTGAGCATTTTTTAACCAGTATTTTGAACTCTGCATTTGTTAGATTTCTTGACTCCATTATTCCTGGGTCTCTGTTCTGTGCTCTCATATGGTTTTCTGCTTCTTTGTCTTCTCATTTGGAAGACTTTCTGTGTTTTTTTTCTATGTACTAAGCAAAGCTCCTATGTCTCCTGGTATTATGTGCCACCTGTTAAGATTCAGCAAGCAATCCACAGATGCTATGCTTATAGTTGCCTCAAAAGGCTGCACCAGAAACCGAGGCCAGCTGTCACCAGTGTGAGTCTAGGCGCTGCTCAGCAAGGAGCACCTGACTCGCTAAGGATATACCTGGATGTGGCTTGGGGGGCAGGGGGTGGGCAAGTTGGGGGAGGCAGAGTTTGAGGGAATCCTCTGGGCTGAGCAACTTCTGTGATCCAGGTTGATGACGTCACTGCTATGGCGGCTGTGTCTGGCACACTGGTAGTGGGGAGGGTTCAACAGGGAACAACGGATACCACTGGCACTTCTGTACAGAGTGAGTCTTGCCTCAGCCCTCACTCTGACAATGTCTCCCTGTAAATCCCTCATGCCCGCTATGCGCAGCCGAATGGGCACTGGTGCTCAGAGCGAGCAGGTCCGTCACTGCGAAAATCCGCTTGTGGACGCGGCCCCTTTAAGTGGTGTTTGGCGTTTGCCGCTGCCGCCGTCTCACTCAGCCGCTTGGGACCGGGCAGCCCCACGTCCTCGCCCCGTCCTACCTTCTGCTGTTACAGGGTGATTTCTTGGATTTCTCCCTAGTTGTATGGCTTGTTTATCTAGATCCCAGATGATTTTTCCTTGCTGCTGCTCCTTATTTCCGTCACAACTTTGATTTGGTTGCCAGGGGATGAACAGAGCCTCTATCATCTACGCCATTTTTTCCTCCTCCCATTAGTGTTTTTAAAGCAGGTGATTCTAATGTGAAGCCCAAGTGGAAAACCACTGTTGTATACAAATAAAATTATTTGAAAATTCCAATATTTTATGATTATATTCTTTATTTCCCCAATTTTGTCTTTTTCTTAAACTTTAATATGCATGTTTTTATTTTTTGTAGCAATAATAAATGTTTATGGGTATAGTGCCCTGAATATTTGACACAGTCTGTTCTGTTGTCTGCTTTAAGGCAAAAGTAGTTCTCAAGCCGTTAGGAAATGCAGAAAAACTCAGTAAAATGGTTAAAAAGCCTGAGAGAGGGAAAGCAGATTCTATCTTATTTTTCATTACCTGAATTTTTCCTTTGTTATATGTTGAGTTTTCTTTTTCTATATCTTCACTCAAATATTTTATTAATAGGATAATGCACTTCCAAGGCAGAATGCTAACATATTCTTACATAAGTATTATCAAGGCTGACATCTAATGTTAATTCTCCTATTTATTGTACAGTGAAAACTTTTTAAATGTTATTCTGATATGTCATTTTTATATCTCGTTCTGTTGTCAGATTTTAATAGCTACTTTGATAACATGGAAAGGCAAAAAGGATTTTGCAGAACATGTTTAAAACTGGAAAAGTTTAGTGCGTATTACCAGGAAGCAGGCCCGGGGATTTCTGGGGAGGAGTGAAGCAAACCAGTACTATACTTATTATAAGCCCTTAGTGTCATTTGACTTTTTAAAAAGTCATGTATGTATTACTTTGATTTTTAAAATATATTTAAAATGTATCTGAAAAAACATTGATTATAAGTAATAAAGTACCCAAAGCCAGCATTAATGGTGAGACTTTCTCTGGATGGGGAAGTATTTTTTATTCCTTATGTTATTTTTTCTCTTGAACCATAATAAGATTTTGAATAGTATCGTAAAGACTTTTCTTTCTCTAGGAAGAAAAATGACCAGGCAGCATTTTTTACATTTATATATTTATAGAATTAAAATAATTCATATGAATTTAGTTCTAATGGTATTTTCTTATTTTCATTCTCCTCCCTTGTATCTTCTTTACTTTTTAGTTTCAGGCAAATAGTTGGAAAAGTCTTATCCTCAAAATATGTCAGGGGTTTGTGAGCCCACTGCCATCTCATTATTCCTATGAGATTCAGCATCTAATCAAGCAGATGTTTAAAAGGAATCCTTCCCATCGTCCCTCAGCGACCACGCTTCTCTCTAGAGGCACTTTAGCTCGGCTTATCCAGAAGTGCTTAACACCTGAGGTATGCTATGTGGAATTGACTGAACCGTTTTCACGTGTATGGTAAACCAGTTTGTTATCTTTTAAACAGTTACATGTTATACATGCTTATAAAAACTCAAATAGTGCAGAAGTAAATAAAAAACATAAAAAGTTAAAACTTCTTTTCTTTCCTTTTCTCCCTTCCACAATGCTATTCCCCAAATATGATCACAAGTACAGTTTTGCATAGTCTTTCAGATCTTCTTTTAGATATATGTAAGTATCTGCCTGTGTGTCAATATTATATGTATTTTTAAATGACATTTTTACTGTTCAACTTTCAGTATTGTTGGGAAGAATTTTGATAAATGACATGGCAGTGTCTAAAGAAAAGTATGTTTCACACCTTTAGATTCTCTGCTTTAAATTTTCAGATCATCACAGAATATGGCGAGCAGGTTTTAGAAGAAACCAAAAAATCTAAACATAGTACACTAAGAAAAAAGGGTAAGAATTTTAGAAAGTTTATATTTTACTAAACAGTCCTTTTAAATGTAGTATACCAAAAAAGAAAAACATAATTTTTAGTTATTAGAGAGGATTTTCAGAGATACTCCTCAAATCAACAATTTTTTTTGTTACCTAAGACATGATTCCATAGCAAATCTTATACATGTAATTTGCCAGAATCGAAAAGCCTAGTTTGGAGATTTTAGTGATATAAAGATTCTCTGTTTCGTTATTACTACCATGTTTACTCTGGCTTCTGTGGGCTAGTCTAGGAATCCAGCCATGAAAATATAATGTTAATCTTATAGGAAATTTTATCCCCAAGTTTCTAAAGAACCATCTTGTAAACAAATTCTTAAAGACAGAGCCTTTATAAAAGTTGGAACTGTTAACATAATAGCTGCACAAAATTTTCATACATCTGTTGTCAATCATCAGCAAATTGCAAATTTAATTTACTGTCTCTGGAAATTGCCATCTCTTAATTTTTTCAAAGCCATTTTTGTTCCTTTTCATTTGTCATCAGTGACTCAGATCTTCCATCTGAAGAGATCTAACAAAGTATATGACCAGAATAAAAGACAAGAGTTAAGACATAGAGAAGGTCATCCACTGCAGGGACATGTTGTAAAACCTCCAGTTTGGTGGCTCATTGTCTCAGGGTTATATACTACAAAAGAAAAACTTTGACAACTACTGTTTTTAGAGTTAAATTTTAAATGTTATTTTTGTAATGTAAACCCTTCTAGTCATGTAAACTCTTCAGTCTTCATCCTTTTTCTCCATGATTGAAGAGGTTGCCGTAATCTTTGTTTCAGCAGTTTGTTTTAGTGTACATTTTAAGGTATTGTTATTATGTAGCTTTTGTTCATATTCCAGAGTGGTGGGAAATTATTTTTTAAATGCCAGGCAACAACAACAACTAAAATGTCTAAGAAAAGTTTCAAGATAGTTTGGAAAAGTGTAGTTTTACAATTTCTAAAAAGAAGTAAACCAGCGGAAAGGTGCCACCACATTGGGGCCGTGTGTCTGGTGGCATCAGCATCTAGTCTATAGACAGCGAGACCAAAACATGATAGCTCTGTGAGGGCAGGGACCATGTATCATTTGCTCACCTTTGTATCTTCAGTACTTGTCATCGTAGATGCTCAAATTGCAAGCTTTTAAAATGCGGAATGAATGAGAATAAGGACTGTAGGCCTCTGCTAAAGGAAAATCAGGCAGGAGCCATTCTTACCAAAGGGATCTGTTGTCTTAGTGCTCTCTGACTGCTTCTGGTCCCTTGTGATGGACGCCTGTTCCACCTACTATCACAGCTGTCAGCGAAAGCAGACTCCATAGCTAGCTTGTGCTGAAAGTGATAATGACTTCAGTATGCAGAGTATCTTACCTCCTAGAGTCTAAGTGAGTTAGCGTAAGTAAACAGATGTCAGCTTTCAGATTACATTAAGAATAAAACAGCTGAGGTATATTACTAGGTGGTTAAAGCTTGGTTTCACTAGTCAGGCTAATGCTTTGGTTCTTTGACTTTAAAAACTTCATGTGTCTTCATTTGTCTCTTAAGCTTTATGCACATCACATTAGCAGCTTAAAAATGGGAGCCTTTCTGTGCTTTCTCTTTTTACCTTCTCTTTTCTCTTTAAGCAGACCCCAGCAGAATCAGGATTGCTTTGGAAAAAGAAGCAAGGACAATGGTAAATGCTTTAAAATTAAATTTATGAAACAACTATTTCCTGGGTACTGGTGTTGTTAGGTGTTATGGAATATTTGGAAGACTGTGATGTAACCTGGTCCCTCCAGTTTAATAGTTTTTCATCATTAGGCATGTTAAGTAATTGGTAGCTGTTCTGTACTGCCAGTGAGCCACTTTAGATCACCATTTGTTTTTTTCATTTTTAATTATTGTGACAAGTGGTTTTAATATAAATGTGAGAGAACTTTGTTCAGTTTTCAGTCATGAAAATCTCATTTTAGCCTGACTTTTGATGTGTTTTTTATTGTGGTGAAATATATATAACAAAATTTACCATGTTAGCCATTTCTGTCGTATTATATATACAATTCAGTGGTATTAATTGCCCTACCCTTCACAAAATTGTGTAACCATCACTACTGTTTCCAATACTTTTTCATCATTCCAAACAGAAACTCCGTACACATTAAACTGTAACTCTCCATTCTTCCCTCACCTCCACACCCACCCCAGTCTCTAGTGACCTCTTTTCTACTCTCTGTTTCTAGGAGATAATTTACCTATTCTAGATATTTCATATAAGTGGAATCATACAATATTTTTCCTTTTGTGTCTGGCTTGTTTTGCTTTGGTTAATATTTTCAAGGTTCATCCACATTATGGTATGTATCAGAATTTCCTTCCTTTTTATTTAGGTCACTATTTTGATATTGACATCTTTCTGTTTAAAAAATTTTAGTGCCTCCCATTATCCCATGTATCGACTACATTTTTCAGCCTGGCCTTCAAAGTCCTACTGGTTGTTTAGCCCTAGGCAGCTGTGAATACTTCTGCACTAAAGCAGCAATAAAGTTAGGCTTAGTAACAGCCTATATACTTCCTAGTGTTGTCCCAGCTCTTTCATTAAATTGTGTCCTATTGATTTTTTCTTTCTTCAGCATTTTAATCAATCTTTAAACATAAAAAGGAAAGGATGTACTAACAAATTATTCAATTTATGGAACGTATTAGTAATTTGTAAAATTTTGAATGAATCTTAGGTTGTAAATAAATAGCAATATCCCACCATAATTATGTTGCTGCAAATGGAATATATCCTGCCTCTGTACTTTTTTTTCTTTGCATGGTAATATTTTTTCCAGCTTCATTGAGGTGTACTTTACATGCATAAAATTTACTCAGTTTTAGTATACAGTTTGATGAATTTTGGTAATTTTATAGTCATATAACCATTGCCACAATTAAGATTAGAAATTCCATGCCCCTAAAAAGTTTTCTACTGGCCCCTTGTAGCCAATCACGACTCCCATCCCAGGCTGCCACTACTGTGATTTTAGTACCACCTAGAGTAGGTATCAGTCGATGTGTTTTCACATGATGAAAAGGGTACGATACGTAAACAGAATGGGGAAAGAGGCAATAAAGTAAGATAGGTAACAGAAGAGTTGAGGGAGGAAAGGAGTCCTGGGCAAGCCCACAGGTGTGATGGGCATCTAGGCAGAGCTGAGTGACGCTGGGCTCGGAGTGGTGTTGGAAGCTGGTCTCTGTGTAGGGCAGTGACTGAGCTAGAGAGAAGTTGGGAATCCCCCAGGAGCTTTTCAGAATTGCTTATCACCCCTCCAAGATTTCGATGTCTTTGTCTACTGGGGGGACCTTTGAAATCATGCCCCCAAAATGTGTAGTGAGAAGTTTGAGAACCATTGTATAGAAACAAGCAAACAATGTGCCAGCTATAGCCTACTGTTTAATTTATTGATTCATTTAACAAATCATTGAGAAACTATGTGTTGGAGATTATCAAGGCACTGGATATATATTCCTTCTCAAAATACATGCAGATTTAAAGACTAGATAGATACACTTAATGAAATCAAGAGCTTAGATATTTAGAAAAATACTGAATTAAGTGGGAACATTTTGTCTATATATAACAACTTTATAAAATATCTCATTTTGATATTTTCAGCATGAAAAGCCCAGTATAGCAAACCATATTGAAATTTTTTATGACTTATTTCTTCTATAAAGACCTCTCAAATTTCTTTGTTGTTTTTATATATCCTCTACATAATTGCCAGGATTAATATTAACAGCTAGTAATGTATATAACTTAATATACATATATGAATGTGTATGATTTTTAATATATATGTAATATGGCTATTAATATACACATATATAGGGTTCTATGGATATTAATTTTTAGTTCATTAATCTTTATTTAAAATTAAAATATCTGACTTTGCATAGTTTACTTTTTTGGTAGCAATTCATGCATTATTTAAACTGTATTTTTATTCTCTTTTAAAGCAAAGGGAAGAACAAGACAGAAAGTGTAGCCACACTGATTTAGAAAGTATCAATAAAAATTCAGTTGAAAGTGCATTGAGGAGAGTAAGCAGAGAAGAGAAAGGTAAGTTACTCAAATTCTAATCATTGAATAAGTCAGGGGTTGGGGAGTATAGAGGGAATACCAATTTTTACATTACTAGGTTGTAGGTGTCACAAACAAGTGGACAGGTGGATTTTTGTTTGCTTATACTGCAATTTATTTATTTTAGGAATATTTTATCTACCCATAAAAAAGTTGAGAATATTATTTATTAATAAGAGCCTTTAGAAAAACTAGTATTTGTTACGCTCCCCACCATAAAAGCATGGCATTCAGTGCGTATCTAGGTATGTTAAGTATATACTTACTTTTTTAAATTCACCTTAATGATTTGTGTTGCCTTTTCATCTGAATTTATTTTTCATTTCATTTCTTTTGCTACTTAGACTTGAAGAAGATTGTTGTTAGAGCTGAGTTTGAAAGAAAAGAATTACTTCTGTGTTAGATAAATACTAAATGGATATAGATGGAATAAATAAAAGAATATGCTCAGCAATCTTTTTTTATATTTTAAAACCAGATAATAAATCAGTCCATCCGAAGAAAGTCAGTTCACCAAGTCCTCTCCGGCGACAGTGGGAAAAAAACATATCCAATACAGCACTTACAGCTTTGGAAAATGCATCTATACTCACCTCCAGTTTAACGGGAGAGGACGATAGAGGTTAGCAGTCAGATTGAATACTTCTATTACAGAACATTTCTAATAGTGATTTAATGGGCTAGAGAGTTTTTCATTTTTTTTTTTTAAATGTCACTCTGTGAAGGATATTTGGTATCACACATTAGAGCACTGCTCAGCCAGTTGAGTGAAATAGAGTAAAATGTAATTAATTTGCTTGAAATATGATCTGGAAAATATGTGCTAAAAATCTTTCTTATTTTGCCCTCATTTTTCTCTTTTCACAACTAGGTGGTTCTGTAATAAAGTACAGTGGAAATAATACCCGTAGGCAGTGGCTCAAAGAGACTCCTGAAACCTTGTTGAACATCCTGCAGAATGCTGATCTCAGCTCGGCATTTCAGACATACACAATATTTAGACCAGGTGATTCATGTCTGTTATGTAGCCGTGGGTACCCTTTGACTTTTAAAAAATGGTAGTGAAATATATACATAACATAACATATATACATAAATATACATAACAAACTTTACCATTTTGACCATTTTTAAGTGTACAGTTCAGGGGCATTAAGTACATTCATATTGTTGTGCACTCATCACCACCATCCATCTCCAGAACTTTCCCCATCTTTCAAAACTGAAACTCTGTACTCATTAAACAATAACTCCCCACTGCCCCCTCCCAGAAAACCTTTGATTTTAAAGTTATAGATAACTCAGAGCGTTGTACTTTTAGGTTTTCTTGAATCTTTTCTAGCTAGTCTTAAACTATAATTAAAATTTCCCCTAGAGCTGTAGTACTTCTATTTGCCCATTTGTTTGCTTATTTTAATAATCATATGACTATTTTCTTTGAAGAGTAGCCCATTTTTCCTATGCAAATACACTAGAGACTTTACAGTTCAGACTTCATTACAATAAAAAACTGTAATCTGACTATCCAAAGATAACTTTTAATGCTTTAATAAATGAGGTTTTTAATTGTATTCTGAAATTTTGCTTTTTAAGAAAGGCATATTTTTAAATTTAATACACATACCAATGCTTACTAGGCCTGTTTTATTCCAGAAATCATGCTGGGTAATGTGGGAAGGCATGCAAACGACATAGAGAACATAGCATAGTCCTCAGCCAGCAAGCATTTGGGGGTTTTTGTCCAACGTGTATGAAATAAGTAAATACTGTTTAAATTAGCATGATTTCTGTTCATATTCCTCTGAAGGTTCGGAAGGGTTCTTGAAAGGCCCCCTGACTGAAGAAACAGAAGAAGCATTAGACAATGTTGATGGAGGTTACGATTCTGTCGTTTTGGATCCAGAGAGACTTGAACCTGGAGTGAATGAGGAGGACACGTACGTCTTGATGTACCTAGAAAGCTTTAGTTGTGTCTGTGTATAATTTAAATTATACCTTAATAATTTCAAGCTTAATAGGAGCTGGTTATATTATTTTATATCATAAATGAATATTTACATCTTGATTTTGTCTGAGATAGGTAATGCATAATGATAATTACAGAATTCCTAACTGAGCCATGTGTTTATAATCATTCAGCTTGGGCTTATTTTTTAATATATTAGATTTTACATTGAAAAAATTATAGACAGTGAAATAAGTGATCTTTTGAAAGAGCTGACAGTTTTTTCTCTGTTCAGTTGCCTTATGGAGCTCACGTTTCAAAAATGTAAATATTATTGTGGTGGTGTTCTGCTTTAAACAAATACTTACTATGCCCCTAACATGGCGGCTTAACACCTACATTGTTTTTTCACAGGGACTTTGAGGAGGAAGATGACAGCCTTGACTGGGTGTCAGAACTGAAGCACCGAGCTGGCTGGCAAGGAGCGTCTGATGGCTAATACCCAAGGAAATGTTTCTTAGTCACATCGAATAGATGTTTAAGTGAGGAACTAATATTAGCTCACAGGATGTATATTTTCCCTTGGAAACAGGGGAAAACTGTGAATATTTAAATTTATTCCTGATTAATATTACGAGGTTAAAAAAATCTACAACTCTTGTGAGTTGTTGAATTCAATGGAAAAGGTGTAGCATAATGGGTGTGAGCTTTGTGGGCTTTGCATCAGAACAGAAATTGGATTCTACTTCTTACTGTTTGTGTAATTGTGGGAAATTAACTCTTTGAGTCTGGATTTGCTCAGCTATAACATGAGGATGATAATGCCTACCTCATAGGGATGCTGACCATAGAGCATGACAGCAGTCCCTAATGTTATTTTTTGTGTTGTTAGGATTTGTGTTTATTACTGTGTAACTCTTTTTACATTTCCTACAAATTTGAGGATCTAAATATATTTAATTATAAAGTGTGCAATTTTTTAATGATATGTGCAGTTTTGCATTGGTCACTGGGTAGTGATCAATGGTCTTCAATGATCTTCACCGGCTACTAGCTGTCCTTAAATATAGACCCTCCTAGGATACACAAAAGAGCCCAGGTCAGAGGATCTACCATGGGAAGAGTGAGGTAGCCTCTATATCTTGTCAGAAGGTGTCAGTCCTGTACATGAGAAAGGAATAGGGCCAAAGGTGAGGAATCAGTATGGAAAGTATCAGAAACTAGAATGTTGTCGACCTAATGGAGGGGGCAGGATCCCAGCATGTGTGGTTCACTGTGACACACTGTGCTGGGTCCTGTCATTTAATTCTGTGATACTTTAGTGAGGCAAGAATATTTTACTAAAGAAGAAGGAGGCTGTTCCCAGTGGATCCCGCAGGGGCAGGTGTGAGAACAGCATAAGCCTGACCTGATATATAGGAACAATGATCAAGTGAAGAATAGGAGGAAAATAGTTGTGAAACTACAGTATAATCATTAATAAGGATCTGCTGAAATGTGCAATACATACATCTTTGAAGATTTAAACAATTTTTAAAAAAATTTTAACATACAAAAACTGTGGTATAGACCTTCACTTCCACACAATTTATTTATACTTCGACATTTAGTCATCCTTAGTCTCTTCTAGTCTTTGACAATTTCTCAGTCTTTATTTTTCAGGACCTTGACGTTTTCGAGGAGTACTTATTACGTACTTTGTAGAATATTCCTCAGTTTGAGTTTGTCTGATGTTTTTCTCATAATGAGACGTACTCTTCACATCATATCAGGGAGAATGTGATCTCGACATTACTTCTTTATTAACCTTGATCACTTGGTTAAGGCAGTGTCTGTATGGCTCTCCACTGTAAAGTTATTAATGTGCCATTTCCATGCTCTGTTAGGGTCTAATGTTCCATTTCTATGCTCTAAGCAATCACTAAGTCCAGCCCATACTCAGGTGGAGAGGAATTAAGTTCCACCTCCTGAATGGGGGGTATAATCCAATACTAAGTCATTTGTTTTGCTGTTGTAATTCTAGTTTTGGCCATTGGGAGTTGTTTCAGGTTGGCTCCTTTGTCCCTTTGATATGCCTTCACTCTTATGTATTTTAAGCACCTTCTTACTTTCTGGACTTACAAGGACATGGTCCAGGCTCATCCTGTACCTTCTCTACCCCAGCCCCAGAATCAGCCATTTCTCCAAGGAGCCCTGGTTCCTTTCACTGGTTAAGAAACCAAGAGCTGGGTACTGGGTGTGTTTGTTGCTATATGAGTGTCACTGCTTCTAGGCCCTCAGCAGAAAGAGAGTGTGTATGTATACACGTACACACACTATCCTCTGTATACATTCACATCTATAGTCTCTATCTCTCCATCTGTAAATAATTAAGCTAAACATAGGTTCATAGTGATGTCTTGGACTCCAGTACCACAGGGTTCATTCTAGCCTCCCCTGCTTGCTTTTTCTGTAGCTTCTCTCTGACAGCAAGAAACCTAGCTTGTACCATCCACCATCCACTTACTTAGTTGTTTGACATCAGTATACATGTAAAGCAGTTTACAAATTATTAACCCATACCCCTGTGAAAAACAAATTTACCAACTAGAATAGTTGTATTATTCCTATTGTCTTGAACCTTACAATTCTAGTCAAAACTCCATTTCCCAAAGTTACCTAGGTTAGTTCCTTTTTTTCTTTTTTCTTTTTTTTAACTATTCTTGAAGACTTTTCAAGAGTTAAGGCTGGCAGAGATAGTTTTAAGGATATTTCCAGATACTCAGCTTCCATAAATACTGTATTCTATACCTCTTAGTCATCTCAAATCTTAGTATTACCCCAGTGCATAAACATTTCCAAACCACCAAAGGGAACTTGAAACCTTATAGTTATTAAGATACTGAATCTTGATTGAATAACAAATCCTTTCAAAAATCAGACGGTTTGCAAGATTTTTCTTTTAATAAAATTTCAAGAGACATGGATGATTAGAAGCTGTTTTTAATGATAGATTAACATGGTTCTTGACATACGAGACAAGAATCGAGGAACATTTTACCAAAACTACCAATTCCTATTATATGGATGAGGTTTCCCGGCACGTACAGTTTAAATAGGAAAAATTCAAGAATCACTGTTGAACATTGTCTATTCCAGCAAAGAGTTAGCATTCCTCTATGATACTAACTGAACTAATTGGGAGGGAGGAAGAGGAAAACCCATTCAGGTTTTTAAGAGATGAATTTCTGATAAAATTTTACTTTTTATAAAAGAAGTATTTACCAATGTGATTGATTTTATTTTGATCAATTGTGTACTAGTAATTTTAATTATCCAATTCAAAAGCCTGTGGTCAGCAAATAGAAATTTCCATTCATATGACAGGGTGACCAATAAAATTGAAGTATGAAAAACATTAGTTATGTAGATATGAGTTCAAGGAGAGAAAGGAATGGTGTAAACTTTGATTCTTAAGAGCTTACTTTTTTAAAAAAATAGATGATGGTTTTCAAATTGCCATGGTATTTAGGTTCCATTGGCTATGTTTTACTTGTGTCAGTATAATTGCTGGAAATCATATCCTTTTCAACTACTAAACATGTAATGAAACGTTCATGTGGAACGGAATGGTGGGGCATAGGGCGGCGTGTTTGCAGGCCACTGGGCAGCAAACCAGTTTTATAAGAGGACCCAATGGGAGACCACCAGCTGTGGCCAGAAGAGTAGGACTCCGTTCCAAGTCTCCATCTCTTGACAGTATTTGAGACCTTGCTTAAGAAACTTCCTGTCTCAGTTTAGCTTATTAGTAAAACTCTGAGTCTACCTTGCTGGGTTGTTTGTTGTACAGAATATGTTCGGAAAGCATCTGGTACACCGCACACAAGAATGGGGGCGGTGTGCTTGTTGAGTATTAGCAAAGGAGTTCTGACGTTAGGCAAAGAGAGGTGACACCGCGGGTTCTCCACACTTCCTGGCCTCTCCCCCTCTTTGGGGTGGACTGTATAGCTCGGCCCTCCCACTACTCGGGCCCCGGGCCCCGCCCACGTTCCCTTGCGGGGCTCCGCCCTGGCGGCCCGGAAGCGCTGCGGCGCCAGGAATCCAGATCCACCTGGGCCTCTTCTCACTCCCCCCCACTCCCGGCAGTCTGCGAGGCAGGTATGCAGCGGGTGGGCCGCCCTTGTCCTTGGCCCGGGGAAAGGGATGGGACCCACTCTGGGGGAGACCCGCGAGGCAGAGGAACTGTTTTCAGTCTAGGGCCGCGTCGGTTTCTATGGCAACGCGCAGCGCACCCAGCGCACGCGGTCCAGCTAAAGTTCTACTGCCCACCCGCTGGCCGCCTTCCAGCGTAGTTCAAAGGGAGAAAGATTTCCCCCCAAATCTGGGGTTTTCACCTCCTGTGCCCCTGGGCTGGAAGGTCACAGGCCCTTGGTTCCCGCGCTGGTTCACTCGAGTTCGGATTCCCCATCCGCCTCCCTCAAAACTGTCTTCGGGTGTCCGCAGCCTCCCCTGGCTGCAGAGCTGGTGCCTAACTCTATCCCACCTGATCCCTTCCTACGCTGACACAGATTACTCAAAAACAACTTGCTTGCTCACTCAGTTTTAAAAAATCAGCAGTATGCCCAAACAGTTGTATAAAGAGGACATGCAAGGAACAATTTATAATAAAGTTTGCATTTCCATCTGTAAATGCTTGATGCTAGTAGACTCGAAGAAGAACTGATGAAGCCTGGTGCCCACGCCCGGGCAGGGCGTCACGTGACTGTCGGTCTCAGCTACCAGGAGCAGTGTGGCCAGTAGGGGCGTGATTTTCCAAAAACGATGAACAGTTCTTGGTAAAGTTCCAAACAAAACGAAGTGCAGTCAGGCTTTGATTTACGTGTACTTGCATTCTTTGAAAATCCACTATCAATTAAAACTGCAAAAAAAAAAATGCTTTGTATTTAGATGTAAAGTAGATTTGGGTACTAGCCGCAGATAATTACAAACGGATTTTTCCACGGACATGAATGTGGGAGACTTTCTAAGGTTGTAGGGCCGCGGGACAATCCTTTGTTGTGCGGTACCGTTTCTCGCATCTTGGAATCCGCAGTGTCTCATTGCCTACCACTTCTAAATGCCGCAGTGCTTCTCCATCTCTAAGAACACACACAAAAAAACACCATAAATTTCCAAAATGTCCCCTAGAGGGCAGGACCTCACCACTGAGAAAGGCTGCACTGTGAAACTACACAAGGATA